ATATTTGTCAGTTTTGTTCTGTTTTTAAAATTTATTTCTTCATTTCTACCCTCCAGAACTGCTTTGAGCTCTATAACCCCAGTCATAAAGGTCAAGTAATTAAAGCATGTAAAACTGAAGCTGATGGTAGAGTGGTGGAAGGCAACCATGTAGTGTATAGAATATCTGCTCCCACCCCAGAAGAAAAGGAAGAGTGGATTAAATCTATCAAGTGAGTTTAAAGTCTTAAATGACTTTCAGAAATAAAGTGTAAGCTCTTTTCAGAGTAAGATACTGAGAGAATTTGTATTCTAACTTGTTTGAAGAATTCTGATGTCACAATGTCCTCTAGGATTAATGACAAGCTATGTGAGGTTGATGGATCAAGATACAAGTCTCCTGTTACTGTCTGGTCCTAAGGAAGTAGTGCTACTAACTCAAATGAGGAGAATGTGGAATTTTTTTTTAAGCAAATGTAAAGCCTTGTGTGAATCGTCTTGAACCCTAATTTTACTAGATTCTTACTTCACCTAACGATTAACTATAGTGACATGTATCTTAAAGCTGCACTGTGAGCATGCTTAAACTTTCACAGCTTGACTTTATCTTGGAAGGTTTATAAAGCAGACACACAAGGAAGTAAAGAATGGTCAAGATGAAGGTATGAACTCTTAAGAAATCACAGCTAAATAGCATCTTTTTCTAAAGAAGTATTTGTGATGCTTAGAAGTCAACCATCCATTATCTTATTAAGAGCATGGACTCATCTGCAGGAAAGAGAACAAAATAGTTTAGATTTTCAAAAACAGGTGTTTGTCAACCAAACTGACGATTCCTTTTTTCTCTTCTAGAGCAAGTATCAGCAGAGATCCCTTTTATGATATGCTGGCAACAAGGAAACGAAGGATTGCAAATAAGAAATAGAACATGATCAGAAACTTGTATACCTGCATCAACCTATAAATGAGTATACAGTTGAGTGATAATGTAAAAATTGGACAAACTAAATGAAAACAGTAGCTGTAAATTTTACACATATACACTTTACTATGACATAAAAACTTTGCAAGACCTTTCAGGGTAAATAATTATTGGCATATAGTTTGAAGTAAGCTTCAGATCCTAGAGGATGACTATAATGAACTTAATTCAACTGAAAACATGGAAGCCTTGTTTTCACTTACATTAGTCAAACTCCAGTGTACTTGGGTTGGGAGGGAAGGGATTTGAGGCTAACAGTAAAATGTCCTATACCTGTTATTTGAGGACATTTCCCATAAAAGGAAGAGTGTTTATAACACTTTCATCTCTCACTAAAATGCAGCACCAAAAGTGGAGTGCAGCGTGATCTAGCACTTAATTTTTCTGTAGGCAGAAACCCCACCATCTCAGTATCAGTTTTCAAGTCTTGTGTGTTTCACAGTGAATGAACAGCTGAATGCAGCTTTCACTTAGGATTCGCTCTCCTACCTTTATGAAAATAGCTTTTCTTCTTCTTCAGAAATGCCACTCAGTGGTAGACTGGCAGCTACATAGTTAACTAGTCGTGCCAAAGGGTTTGGTTGATACACACTGAAACACACCCAGGTCCCAATGGCAAAGGTTTGAGTCTGTAGCCATGACACTAATTACAGGTCAGGTTTGATATTTGCCAGTAGGCTAAAACTCATTCCTGTCTGCCCATACACTCACAGTAAGATTTAATGGCTGGTTTAATCTGCTTTTTATATAGTAACATCCTTCTTACGTTTTAGATACATTGTAGTTTAATACTAAGTTACTACTAAAGGAGTAAGATGACAAGCCTTGCAGGAGTTTAGGCTTTTCATGTGAAAACTCACCCAAATAATTTCACATGCATTTAATGTTTTTAAAGGGAAAAACCAGGAAGGTGAAATCTTTCTGTAAGATACAGCCCTAGGTAGTTATGCAAGCATGATTCATTCCTTTGCTTGATAACAAACTTTGGACATACCGAAAAGTTCAGTATTTTTATTGCATTCTTAAAGGCGATTTTTCAGATCTGTGCTTCAGCAGTTGAAATTGAAAAAATTGACATCCTTATTTTCACTTAAGATATAAAATCTTACACATTGATTACCAAGTGCAACTAAGCTGCCCCACAAGCATGTGTCTTTTTTTTTTTTTTTTTTTTTTTTTTGTTATTGTAATTTGTGGGAGATCTTTCTGTGGTCCTGCTGATAGTTTTTCACTAACATGTAAACTGCTATGGCAGATTTTACTACAATGCTTTTCTATTGATAGTGTACATACTAGTCTTAAGGTAAAGCCCCTAATTCCACAGTGGGGGCAAAAAGTAGGGTGTTTTTTGGACCCTACTGCTTCTGTTAATACTCAGTTTTTCACAAACTTCTTGAACCTGAGCCGTGCCTACTGTGCCAGTGAATGCTTTGGAGACCCAATACTTTGTCAAAGCAATTTTGTTTCTTGGAGTTACGGAAGCATTTCTGGATACATTATAGGGAAATAGGCTGCACTGGCAAAACCACAGACTTACTAAGTTGATCCATTCCAAATCTCCTTTTAACTATAAGGGAGAGTGTGTTTCATTGTTCCTGCCTTACTAATTTGCCTGGTTTTGTATGGGGTGTCAGCCTGTGAATGTTTTGCTTTACTGCATGTTTGCAAAAAAGGCTGAGAGGAAAAGAACAAAGTAAACCTCTTTATACCTTAGATTTTCCCCAGAGAGTGTGGAATAGCGGTCTACTTGGCTGAATGTTCAAATCCGAGTACTTTCAAGGGGATAAAACGCAACCAAAGGACATAGAATCCTTGAGTAAGTATCAGTGTGGGGACCTCTTCACTTAATAGAACACATTTAAACTCTTTATAGAAACGATTGAAGCTGTATGTCCCGTTTGCAAAGCGGTGTGATTATAGAGCCACTAACATCACTTGTTTTGAGTCTTCTGTTCCACAACTCCACCTTTTGTTTTCAAGCAATGCATATGTCAGCTTTGGACAAGTAGGTTTGTAATGCAAGTAGTGATAAGCCAGAATCAGTGGTACTAATGAGTGTAAAGGTGAAAAGCAGAAAATAAAGTATTTCTGGAGAAATGTGAGATTACGAAAACATTAATAAGCCATGAAGCACTTTTGTATCAGTTCTTATCTTCTGAAATATCACCTTCAAGAAAATCTATTTATTTAACCAGGTGAGGATGTCTGCCTCTAAGCATGAAGGAAATGCCTTGAGAGTTCATTTGCTGTATTTAGTTTGAAGCTCTTATATCCATCAGAAATAATTATTTAGAGTAACATGTAACTGAGGATATTATATCAGGAAAGATATTATTTCTTAGCATTAAAATGCGGCATCTTAAACAGCTATTTGTGGTGCTCAATATATCTGTTTAATTTACCAAAGCTAATGGAATAGCATTCTTGGGTGTGATAATATTTGATTTCAAATGTTCTTTGTAACAGTATTACCAGGGAGTGAAACTGGCCCAGAATTTCCACTGGCCACGAGGCCAGTAAAACAAAGTGGCTTGTGAAAATTTCGGCCAAATCAGGTACTATCCATGAGGGTGAAGAAAAATCTCTCAACCTTTCCCTTCTTTATTGGGCTTCAAGTCCAGGGGTAGCTACTAAGACAAGCTGCTCAGTGGCCTAAAGCAGTGTCTGTTATGGTTTGGCCATGCTGAGGAAAAGTCCTCTGGGAATAACAGACTTCTCCCTTCCTGTTGCACTGAAACTTGCGTAATTCTTCAGCTCTTTGTTTTTCACATTGCCCTTTACATCTGCAGGGGCCAGCAAGAGCCACTACTGCTTCTGCCATGTGTGTGGCTTCACGCAATGTCTAAACCATTTGGCCACTAACATCAGCCACGTTGCCAGTGCAGTCTAGGGAGAGAACTGTATATAATACTTAAGCTCAGCTGGACTGACTTAAATTTTACAATATTCTTGACAAAATAAGCTCTACATCACTTAACATTTTGAACCGTTTTAAACTGGTACAAAACTGAACCTTTGTAAACTGAGCAGCATTTATAATGCTTCATATATAAAAACAATGCATATTTTTAAGATTTATTACATATCTATGTAGATATGCTTGCTGGAAAAGCTAGGTCTATTGTAGACCAAATGCTACAAATTAAGACTTGTGGCTTACCAGTTCCATTTCTATATTTTCTTGGAAAATATTTCTAGCTAGAGTTTAAATACAAAATGTAAATACTGTACAGATATGTATTGATATAAGTATTACTTGGTGTATACAAGTGATTTGCATGACGAATACTCTGTATCAATCATTGTTTAAAATGTGATGTTCTTTGTAAATCCACTGCAATATTAATGTTTTCACTTATCATTAAGGTCTTTTGCTTACATCTGGAGATTTTCTCAAAAATAAAGTGTGAAACTATACTATTGTATAGCTCTTCATTTACCAAGAATAATGGGAGGCAAGTACTGATTTTTTTTCTTCTGAGAGATTTTCAATTTTACAGCATAACTGCCCTTTTAAGTAAAAGGCCTCTTTACCCTACCTTTAGGCACACTAAATTATCAGATTTAAATTTTCAGAGAGAAAAATCTTAACTGCGAAACAGATTCAGTAAAGGATGCTACAAGTATGAGTGTTGCTCCATTAAGAGCTGGTTTCCCTTAAGTGCCACCCTAAATTAAGGAGGTATTTTGTCAGTTCCCTTCCATGAGTTTCAGTCAAATGTAAGTGGGTGTGGGGGGGTGGAAATCAGATCTCTACTCCTAGAGATTCATTAGACCTCCCCCAATTAGCAATAGCTAACGCTGCTGCAGTTGCCCAGTGTGCTTCTCCACAGCTCACTCTGAAGCCGTCAGGAACTGCCCTCCCTCCAGTCACTGCTTGTTAACTAGCTTAGGCAGTTGTTGCTTCTGAGGTTCAGCAGTCAACATTTCAACTCCTTTTATACATTTATGCCGGAGTTACTCATCAGACAAAAGACAAGACACCAAATCTTGGAGCCAGAGGACAAAAGAGGAAAAAAAAGCCAGATACAGGAAAGGTATGTGGTTTCTTTGTCATGTTACTTTATGTAACTTCACATAACTGTTGCCATAGGAACATTATGCAGGGTACACTTATGGTTTGGCTTTATGGTGTTCTCCATGTACCAAAATATTACCTTAAGTATTTAGTAAAACATTAACCTTGCTCCTTTCTTTACTTAGTGTCGCACACAGGAAAAAGCTACTGGTGAGCTTCCAACCTGTTGCCTGGTTTTGGAAGCTTTTAACTTCAAAGGAGAAAGCCTTCTGCATTCTTGTCTAGGCAGCTGAAGTCCCAAGTTACTTATCTTCTCTGGGTCACACCGACAGCATCTTCTCACCTACCACTGAAAGGAAGATCTGATTTCTTGAGTATCAAACACACTCTGAAAGCTGTCAATTCACATGACATATTGCATGTTAAATAACTCAAGTAAAAATCCATTTTAACTTTGCTGTATTTATATACTATATAAATTTTACATGCTATATATTTACAGTGGGGCAAGTGCTTTTTATCTTTAAAAAAACAAAGATCAAACTTTAGACATCTCTGAACAACACAGCTTGTATAAACCAGACAGATTATTCAGATGAACTGTATTTAATACAGGTTCCCCACTCATCTCCTGATGCAGGACCAGTGAATAATAAGTGCATCACAGTTTGATAGCATTTAATAATAAAAATAAAAATCACAGTATGAATTTGTCTGTAACTAGACACTTTAGAGAGACAAAACAGACAACTGAGACTTAAGACAAGTGACAGTATATTAAGGAAATGTAATAAAAACATATGGAAGAGTATACAAATAGTCTTGAGAGATACATTCAGAACTGCATATTCGTTGTTTCACAATGTTGAAAACCAGAAGATTTTCTTCAGATCTTGAATATAACTCAAATGTGAAGTAAATTAGTTTCTAGTGTCAGACATCACAGAAAAGATGAAGCTCTTGCAAAACCCTAGTTATTTGAGAGCTTGTGAAATTTTAAATAAGTCTTTAAATTAAATATACAGACTGTCAGTTGCAATTTTTGTAATTCCTGGTCGCTCTTACACCAGATGTCTAACTTGGAGTAACATTACATGAATAACATAAAGTCAACCTGAGTCTGTAATTAAGCAGCATTTGAGATGGTCTATTCCAGGGCCTTATCTCACATGAGTGAGATATTTATGTGGTAGTTTACAATGTTCAGCAGTTGTAAAAAGTTTCCACCCTTTTGGATTAGAAGTATATTTTAAAAAAGTCTCAAGTTAAAAACTAAAAAAAAGTTCTTTCATGGTAAAATTCTGTACAGAAATGTTAAGCACCACTTATGACTGGATTTTGTCTTGATGGTAATTGTTTTCATAATAAATTTTAAGTTTTGATGGTCAATATTGGTAATGTTGGGTTTGATGGTAAAAAGTTGTCGGGTTTGGTGGTAAAAAGTTGTCGGGTTTGATGGTAAAAAGTTGTCAGGTTTGATGGTAAAAAGTTGTCGGGTTTGGTGGTAAAAAGTTGTCGGGTTTGATGGTAAAAAGTTGTCAGGTTTGATGGTAAAAAGTTGTCGGGTTTGATGGTAGGTTTAGTTTGAGTATTGAAGGCTTCCACCAATAAGTTCCGCATCTGAAAGACAAAAGGAAGCAATATCACTCCCTGTCATGACATTCAGCATAAAACAATGGCTCCATGGTTTGATTTCTAAAAGAAGTCTCAAACCTGCGCCCAGCTCCAACTGTACCGAGTATTAGGACAAAGCTACCCACTTTAATAGGAAATGGTAGATCTTAGGTAAATGAAATTTTGTTGAAGTTTTGCCTAGACAGCATCCTTGTTTTACTAACCATCTTGTGGTCAAGCTGACCAGATCCTACTCACAAACCCAAGCCTTTAGAAACTTGCTGGAGAGAAGATGTAGGAGTATAGAAAATGACCTACTCCTCCCATCTTACCTGGATTTTTCTTAAATTACAAGTTATCACTAGCCATTTTCATCCATATGAATTTATTCAAAGTAACATAAGTCCTGGTGAAGAGCCACAACCTAACAATTCCTTCTCAGTTGTTCCTAGTCTGTCCCTAGCTTGTTTGGGAGGTTCAATACTCTAAGAACACACTGCTGAAGTGGCTTTTTTTGAGATTAGATTCCCTCATTCAGAAAATCCTACTTAAGACCCATTTTTTTAAAAAGATCGACCTTTCACAAGATGAAGGTAATGAACATCCGTGGACTTGATGAAATACTAAAATTCTCAAGACTTAAAGAAATTGCTTTTCACAGCCCTCATATCCCACTTGTGTTGCAAGAAATGTATCAAAGCGGGGTACTGTCATGGTATTTATCAATCAACATCTCTCTCACCTACATAGCCCGGTAATCTTAATGCCCCTGACCTGTGTAATGAGATGCAAGACATTTACTTTCCTACTATACTTTTGGCTGGTTGGGAAAAAAAACAAGTTTGCCATCTGCTGGCTAGAGAATTCACTGAAGCCAAACCAGCATTAGAGCAGATGCATTTTTTTCTGTTTGATTCCTGATTTATCAGCTAGAACAGAGACACTTTTAGTGCAATAAGGATTATTTTGACATGAGTATCATAAAAAAAAAAAGTCTATTTTTACAACAATAGTACTTGAAAGACCTCAATCCTGTCCTTAAATTTTTCTTGTTAAAGAGATAAAACTCACAATAAATTTTACAAGAAGAGTATGTGAACAATCAGCTTTCCCTCCGTACTATATTTTCAGAATAAAAATTTTGATTGTCTACGCCCTGAAATGCAATCATCGTTTTTCCACCAATGCACTTCCCTCTTTGCCTTAAGCAAACTTTTCCATGCAAGAATCTATTGACTGGCAACTTACCTCCGTGTGGAAACCACATGACATTTTTGAAAATAAAAATCTATTCCAAGATTAAACATCTCCAAATTGTGAAATGCGTTTAACTGTAATGCAAGAAGATTAATTCTTTTGGGTTTTATGCCAGGATGAAATTTTCAACACTAGGCCATTAATGAACAAGATTGTCACTGACTATTAACCCAATTCTTAAATCGTGGGTAGGTATGAAATGTCAAAAATTTGGAAAAAGCCCCCTGGCTTTTGGATAGTGAGCTGTCTTCTTCAGGGATTACTTCAGTGATCTATAAGAGTAAAATAGATGGTTGGGGGGGTTGTTTATTAAAATATCTGAGTAACTGGGACTGACTTTATGTCAGATAATGGGCATTTAAGAAGGTTTTCTTTTTATAATAAACACTTCTATTCAGAAAAATTTCATAGGAAATGTCAAATTTTATTTTAGATGTTGAATTTGTTGCAGTGTGCAATCTTCTTCATTGCATAATTCTACAGCTAATTAATTTAAAAGGCATTATCTACTGAAAGCTCAAGTCAGGACTATGACAAGCAACAGCAAAGAGTTCAGTGTAAATTCAGTCAGGCACTCAAGTTTGTATTTATTTTATTTTTTTTTAATAAGAAGCACCTGACTTTTTTTAATATTAAAAATTGGGAAAGAGCTGTTTCATCAGCTCACTTCTCTGTATGTTTAAGCCTGTACTAATAAAAAACCACCACAGGTGAATAAAACAATAGCAGAAATTAAAGGCACTCTCCAGGTGTTAAATTGTAAAGCACTCTCTGAAGGATTAACAACTGTACTTTGAAGGCACATCTACATCTGAAACTACAGTATTTCAGTATTGTCACCAACTTATGTTACTCTGAATAAGCAGTCAGCACTGTTTCTATGTTATGAAATACCTGAACTTGGTATTTTATTTAAATCAATTACTGTGGCAGTCTTTTTTTGGAAGATGGTGTTTCACTACAGTATTACTAGCCTGGAAGTCTCATGTCACCATCTTCCATCTTGGCTACTGAACTTCCTTGTCTACCTACTTGATTCTTTTTCAAGATAGAGCTGCCCAAGGTTTTTCTTCCTAGTTAGCTGGACTGAATTTGGCATCTTGCATCTCTCCCCCTTGTTCGCCACTTAACCATCAGATCAAATTAAAATTACTTGCCTTTCAATATCTTTGCAGGTTTTTTTCAGACTTTCCTAGTAGTTGTTTAAAAATAGAGAAAAAAATAAAGCCTATATAATTTTTTTTGTCTTAATGCAGACTGTTTGGAAGCCATTATATAAAGCAGAGATTTCATCACACAATCATTTAAAGATTGTTTTAAATAATGTCTATGTGAGTAAAAAGGAGTCCTGCAAACACCCGGTGGTCCCTTACCTTTAACATACTCACTGGATGTGATGGAACTGTATTATCTTGCTTTCACCTGCACCAGAAAGCCTCCCTTCCTTGTAGGGTTGTTTACTGCCCTGGTTTCTGTATTGCTCACATAAATAGTCGCCTGGAGGACAGGATACTTCCTCCTTCTCCCATGTTTTCTTCTGGAAACGAGTATCTAAATATTCCAAGAAGCCTTTCAGTTTCCTGATGTGTTTCTTCTTTTTCTTCTTTTTCTTACGTTTGCGATTGTCATTGTCAAAGCGGAGCACAGAGAAATCCAAATCATAAACTCTGAAGGAAACATGCAAGTTAAAAATAGAAAAACAGATGTGGCACTTGATGCATATATGAAACGTTACCTATTTTACCACAGGTGATGACTTGCAGCATGTCAGCTATTTTGTGGTAATTTCCGCACATCTAACTTTAGATGCAGCAAACTTAAGCCCTCAGTCTGAAGGACAGTAGGTCCTGGTTTGTACACAAACCGTTAACAGGGGCTAGTTGTGGAATATGCAGAATTAAAAAAATAGTTGTTGCAACCTAATCAAGAATGGTGTGCAGATGTGATTCTAACTACGTGGTCCAGATCTAGTGTTCTAAAACAATTCATCAATATCTTTCCTATCTTCACTTGACCAACCTAATGACCTGATCCCCAGCCAGATTATGCTATATAGATAACTTAGAAACAATGAAAAAAAGGCAGACATGAGAAACACCCAGAAAAGAATTAGGAAAAAATTCCTGATTATGCTGGAATCCTTGCTTACTTGTAATCCTTCTCTCGATGTTTATCTTTGGACTTCTTTTTCTTCTTGACCTTCTTATATTTTTTCATTCTTTGGTCACCTATCTTTCGGCATTTCTTTTCCACATCGGTTCCGCTTCCTTCTGTGTGGGTATATTTTTTTCTGTAATTTCTTAGTTTTTCTTTCCCATTTTCCCGGGAAGAGTCCTCAAAATTTGAATGAGCTGACACAGGTGGAAGTGCGTGCCTTTCACGAGAATATTTTTCAGATTGCTGCTGAGGTACTAAACAATGATGGAAGTTTGCTCTGTGGCTGCTAAAGTGATGTACATCTTCCTCTCTAGAGAGTGTATTGTGAGACCATCTGCTTTTGCAATGATAATCCTTATGTGACCTGTTGTTGTAAGCTTGACTTGATTTGTCAAAGTCTTTATCACAATGAGAGGACTTTCTCTCTCTACCATCTCTTGTTCCATGGGAAGAATAATAATCATTGTAATATCTGCATTTTTCCCATCTCCGTGGTTCATCTTGATAGTATCTTTCTCTGCTCCAAGTTCTCTCTCCTTTGGAATGATAATACCTATTCCTGTCTTGTTCTGTTCTTTCTCTGCTTCGGGATCTATAACGAGAATATTTCCCTGAGCTTTTGCCATTGTTTGGGCTGTTTCTTTCATTATGGGAAGATCTGTACTTGCTTTCACTGCAATATTCCTGCTTATGACGATTCTGCTTATTTGTTTCCACGCTGCGAGTGCATCTCCTCTTGTGGGAATGATCATCTGTTTTGCTTCTGCTTTGCTTCTCCTTCTCCTCAGTGTCTGAGTTTTCTCTCTTCTTTCGGTAGTGCTCTTTGTCAGTTTTTTTAGAGTCATATATTTTTTTCTTATATTTTTTCCTATGTTTATCTTCTTCACATTTTTTATTACTCAGTCCCTCATTTTCTCTAGAAAATTGACTCTCCAAAACTTTATCCAGCTTTGAAATAGAAGAGTCATTAACAGGTGGTACCTCTACATAGTTATTAGAAATGTCCATTTTATCTTGGCATTTATCTGAAATAACTAGAGATGCAAGTTTTTTAGAACTATATTCAATGTCAAACTTGATAGAGGAAGTTTGCCTTAATTTCTCTTGGCCCTCAGGAGACCCTTTGATGTACAAAGGATTTTCTTTTGAAATGAGTTCAGGTTCTTTTGATCTTCTTAGTTTGTCTTTGTCTCTACTATCTTCAGACTCACACTGCCCAAGGAATTCATCTTCAGTGTCCAAGGATTTTTTCCTGACCTTGTGCTGACCATTGATATTGGGATGCACACTATCGGCTTTTGTTATAATACTTTCAGTAACTTCTTCTTTGGTAGAAATGGTTTCAGAATCCGATTGACTAAAAAGATTCTCAACCTCACAGGTAAAGTTGGAAGGAAGCTTCCTGGATTCTTCATAGGCAAACAGTGCTTCCATCACTACAGTTTCCATAAGAGCATCATTCTCAGAAGATTTCTGAGGTCCAGGGACACTGCACAAAATAAAAACAAGTTTTTTACTTGAAAAAGTCCATCTGGAAGATGAACATTAAGTGTAAAATCCCCTTAAGTAAAAAAATTGGTGGCTACTGGAAAACTCTGAAAGACATTCCCTTTAGAAAACTATTCTTGCACCTTCCTCAGCTCCCAGAGGAGATGTTTTTCTTCTCTTGGTTCTGCAAGTATTGCATTAAAAAATCCACACCCAACACACCTGTCTCCCTCCACTTGCTGCTCTGAATCACATCAACAGAATAGCCAAACCCACTATATTTACTCTCCCCCCAACTGAAAAAACAGTAAACACGTGGATTTCCCTGTCTCCCCAAAATGGGACAGCAGATGGTGAGAATTTACATTCACACATCCTAGGATGGAGAAAAAGGGAAAGAGGAATAGAAAAAGTATTCCAGACAATGGAAAAAAAGGGAAAAACATTCTATGAAGAAACAAAAGTTTTCCAAGAGGCATCTGCCTGTATTTAGTATGAGAATAATATATGCTCAGTGCTGATGTTTGCAATTCTGGATGTACAGTGTAGAATTCTCTGTACTGATTTAAATATTTATATTAAATAGTATTAGTAGACAAGTAAAACAATGATAAACTTGTATGAAATCTGGTTGTAATACGAGTGTACTAATTTTACCTTATTTCCTCTGACAAGTTTTTCAACTGGCTGTATGCAAGAGATTCTAAGATTATTTCTTGAGGAACTGGCGACAAAGCTATAGGCATCTACAAGTAAAATGTAGAAGTTAACAGACAGAAAAAATACTACCTTTAGTAGAAAACTACTGCTTGCAAAATTTCTACATTAGATGTTAAAGATCACTGAGTTATATGTGTTATCCCCATTTTATACATCACCCCACTCACCACCCCCAAGTATATTTATGAAATTTATGAATATTATCTCAGCTGAACTTCTCTTGTGTTCTCATACGTCAGCTCAGCTCTGCAAATTCTAATGGGATAATAGCACAACGCATTATGATGAAATTTATGCCGTTTTCTCAGTATTTCACATGAATTAGGAACATTATAATGTTCCTGAATACTGAATACATCATAGGTGAGAAATCCTAGATGGAACAAACATAACTCACTGTTTCGAACAATCCATTTGTTTTAGAAAAGAAAATCTCAGAAGGTTTAACAGGTTGGACTTGGCAAGTGGAATCATCAAGTTTCAGTCCATTTTCTTTAGATTCATTATCTAAACTAATAGCACCATTTAGTGAGTCATTTTTTGGCAGCTCGTGCTGGGATCTTTCTTCTTCAGCATTCTGACAAGAATGGGAATTCTGCAATGTACGGACCACCTTTCCAATCAAAATTCCATTAGGAGATATTATGTTGCAATTCCTTTTAAACAAGCCCTTCGACTCCTCAGATTTTCCTGAAGATTCTGCACCGTAAAGGACTGCATTATCAGAGGTGAGTTTAGGATTTCCATTCACTGCTGGCTCAACAAAAATTTCATCAGGAACTTCCTGTTTGGAAACGTTAGTAGCAACTGACATTGTAGATGCATTTGAGGTAGACTCTGCTGCAGAAGAATTTGTAATTGTGGATGAAGGAACAGGTTTGCTTAGATCCTCATCCTCTGCAGCACTGATAGAACAGGCAGGTTGTGACACAGTCTGACGTGCAGGCAATTTGTTATGAATACTGATAGTGATCTTCTGGTTTTTTGACGGATCTGTAATTGAAGACCTGGTAATTGCCCAGTTTTGAACACAAGCTGTTGGCGGAGCTGAAGATGGCCTTTTTAGGGTGACACCAACAGTATTTGGATCCTCTTTTACGGGTCCATTTCCATTTAAACGACTTGAGTTCTGTATTTAAAAAGAAGAGATTGCAAGATGGGTATTTGCAAACACACAGCAATTAAACTTTTAAAATATGAAATTCTCCCACTAGATAATTCTACCAATTGCCTCAACACCTAAGAAGAAAACACGCCCTCCTTCAAATATAAATGCAAGTCTAACAAGTGTTTTAATTCCTGCTTTTTGTTTTCTGCATATTGGCATCAAATCAGCACCATTTCTGAAACCCACCTAAAGAAATTAACATTGACTAAAGTTATTCCCAAATAGCTTTAATTTCCTCTTTAAATACTCCCTGAAAACACTGGAATAATTGTTCTGGTACTCAGGAACAAGACAATTTGTTTTCACTGTTCCAGCTAAAGTGACACTGATAGGCGGGAAAAAAAGCTTTACTTTTAATTATTTAAGGATTAATAGACTACTTATTGTCGCAGGAGCGTAGTTCTCAGTGCTTTAGAAAGCTGAGTTGGAAGTATGAAGTAATAAAGTAGCATGGCTGCACAATTTAGGATTAGCCACTGAATAATTCTGGCTGTAGCATGAGGACTGTGAAGAAAGCTGCAGTGTGGGAGGGAAAATAAAACTCAGATGCTAAAAAACAACAACAACAAAAACATACCAAAACCCAGTATCAATTTGGTGCCATTATCTGCCCCGCTCAAGTTACCTTAATCATATGAGGAGGAAGTCGTGGTCCCATAAATCCAGCCTGCTTACTATTAGCACCCCGCTGACCAAGGAATGAACGGGGATAAGACGGTGCTGGTAAGTAAAAAGCACGTTCTCCAAGCGTCAAATCATAGCGCCTTGGGAAAAGAGCAGTGATCTTAGTTTAGAGTTTTTCCTTCAGCCTATTATTGGATTAAACCACATCCTATAATTTTATAGGAACGGTTTATATCACACAGAAGACATGTACAGAAGACTTAACCAAGACTACAAACTGAAAATTAGATAACGGTCTTCCTACAGTGACTATCCTTTTCAGAGCAATAACTCATCCCTACACCATCTATGGCCTTAATTTCTCCTCTTTTCTAAATTAGCCAGCTAGAGAGAGCAGTTATATAGCAATGTACACAAGTGCAGCAATTTAAGGCCAAGCAATCAAAGACAGTATATGACATGGGGAATTTCAGGCGAGACAGAACTGAATTATACAAATAGTAATCTTTTCCAAGGACAGAAGGAAAAACGCTTGAAAAGAAGAAAAATATCAATAACCAGAAAGTAAATATATTCTGAACACATTTAGTATTTGTTATTACCTGATATAAAAAAGTACATAAGCTTGCTGATTGAGAACTGTTTTGATATCAGAAAGGTCTACTGAGGCATCATTCATTCGATACCAAAGTCCATTACCGGCCTGCAAATAAAGACAATGATATCATTAGATAAATTACATGTTTTCCAAGAGACATCACAGATAGAACACTAGAGAACAAAACAAACCAGAACAAATCAAACAAAACATATAATGCAACCCTTTCCCCTAAAAACAGTGGTTACCAGTAACATTTTAACTTGTCAGCACAGATTTTACCCTGTTAGAAATCAAGCCAGTATCTACCTTTATGAAGCAGAGATAGTGTCCCGCGTTACAGTTGAAACCACTGTGTACAAGAACTGCATATAAAGCATAGATGAGTGGTTCTCCAATTGATTGGGACATATATGCTCGAAGATCCAAATATTCAGGATATTTTACATCCTAAACACAGACCAAAAAGATCCAAAAATTATCCTGAAATACTTTAGGGAACAGCCTGAGAAAAGCACTTCTAAAAACACAGCCTAGGATTATATGAATATATTTAAATGAAATATATAATTTTAAAATACCTATTCTCATAAACAAAATTTAATAAGTTGCAAAGAACTGTTTTCTACAAAATTAGCTCTTTAAGAATAAGGTAGATTCTTATGGTCACACAAGGAACTTTACTGTTATTAAAAAGAAAGAAGAAGCCATAGTTGCTGTATCAACTTTTCTTAGACCATAGTTATTAGTCTATAGTTATTGCCTGCAAACATTAACAACACTGAAATGAGTATTCATCTTTGGGAAATCTACCATTCCAAGGAGATAAAGGTGCATTACAGCTGTAAATATACCTTGTTGATCTTTCCACCTGTAAAATTCGCAAATCTTTTCAGTGATATTGTGAGAACATTGGAAGAACGATGTATTGTATACCTCTTTGACGCAGGAACCATCTTTTTACACCTTAAAAACAAGCACAGACAAATGTTTAACAGCTTATGCTTTTACCCCCAAAAGGTCAAACAGGTTTTCATCTCTCACACATGCTTATGCTATTTGAATGATATTTACTTGCATAATATGTTTTTTCTTTTCATAAATCCATACACTGCATTTCAGGTTTGTTAATAGAGAGAAGATAGCAGGATATAAGAGGACAGCTCTACAGAACAAAAAATAAAGTATTTAAAACATTATCTTTTGATAGCCAAACAAATGCCTGAACATGTATCTTTGTTATGCCAAAAAGGTAAGGCTTTCCAACAACTCGGAGCAAAGCAGGACCAGGAACTTCTCACCAGAGCACATCACCAGAATGTGAGGCAAGGTACCATTTCTTGTTACACCAAGGTGGCTATTTTGAACACAGATCCTGGATACATTCTTTCAACTTTCTGCAGGAATGCCAATATTAAAAGTGGAACAAGAGAGTCTAGGTCCTCAGGACTAGAAACTGCAAGTAATTTCCAAAATGGATCATAGATCAATGTAAAAAATGCACTGGAAGGAAACAGTCATTCTGGAGGAGGGAGACACTGGACAGTAGTAAGTCTTCATGTACTGAGGTTGTCTGGAAAGACACTGAAACTATCTGCAATTCTTTGAAACTAAATTGTTAATTCTAAGTTTGTTGCATTGCACACTTAAAGGTAACCTACAGAGTAAGCTGTGAAACTCAACCACTAGCACTGAGAAAGACTGCAACACCTGAGTTTACATCATCAGGAGAAACACTGGTGATAGTTAACAAATAGAAAGAATTAAATAGCATATTTCCAGATTCTTATGTCAAAATACAAGACAGAGAATTCCAAACTGATGGAGAATGACTATGAACAAAAAAAACTCACCCAGAATAAGCCAAAAAAGTGTTTTATAAAATTCTATGAAACTTGTAATTACGTACAAGGTTTTGAGGCAGTAATCTTTATTAGAAAACTTCATGATAGAAAAGAAAATGTCAATTAGGAAAAACTTAAAAGTAATAGAATAGTTTACCAGCAATGGAAAAGATACTGTACATATGCTAAACCTTTATTTTTAAGCTCACAAAAAGACTGAAACGCCTGGTTTTATGTGTGACTAAACTCATCATCCTGCACATTAATGAAGGATTGTGCAATTTGGATGTGCTTATTACAGTTATCTTACTCTTCCTCAGCCATAATCTGTAAACTATGAGAATTCATATATTACACGTTGCTTGCATGGATCCATAGACTAAAATGAAACCCAGATTAAACTGTTGTAATAGCCTATTGGATGCTCATTCAACATCTGCATTCAAATGTGTTAATTAACTTAGTTTTCCAACAACAAAAAGCAGGTATTGCATTTTTCATTTAGAAGGATCAGACAGGAATGTTCAGAACTGAGCCTGATGGTTTTTGCTTTTCTGAGTTTATGTTTGAATAATAACTTATTTTGCCAAAATACCATATACAAATGTTCAGTGCCCTCACATACATAGAAATATTTTACATATTGATCAGCATATAGGACATCTTAACTCCATATGGTTTCAGTAAGCATAGATTAGGTTTAGAGTGGCTCATTTCAGACTAAGGCATTCCACAGGTTAACAATTCAGGAACAGTGCAAGACATTGTTCAGCGAGCCAGCAGAGGTTGCTAATGTTAATTATCACTGAGCCTGTTCACATTCACTGAGACCCAATCTCACTTTGTTTCACAGCAAACACTAGGACCTTCAGGAAGCTGATGCTGCCTCACACCCCAAATCATTTTCCATAGCTCCTGCTTCAGCTCACTGATACTTATCAGACATGTCATTTAACTTCTGGCCATTTGAGTATTTCAGTGTGCAACCTGACACTTAAAGGCTGACAAGCCCCCATGTAGAAAGTACTAGGAATAAAATACTGATTACAATACAAACATTATTTTCTGAGCTTTGAATTATTTCAGTGTATTACTTGTATAAACAAAACTAAATGAAAGAACAACAGAGCACTGTGTCTCAATAATTTGTTTGTAAATGAAGTCAAAAGATAACTTATGCTCTAAATCATGCAATAGATTAAACACGTATCTTGTATTACAGTGTAATTAGTAATAATCTTACTTGCTACACTTATAGCTATTTTCACCATCCAGTTGTTCCGGTTTCACAAATTGTTCTAGAGCTCTGGTGACAGATGTAACTGCCTGGATGAGTAAGAAAGTAAAGCACTAAATCACTGGAAATGCAAAATTTCAAAAACTTACTAGTAGTTTACAAGAAAACCTTGCTAGTTCATACTTAACTGACCTACTGTGAGCCAGCAAACACAGTGAAAAAGGAGGCAAGAACAGAGTACGTGGAGCATTTCCCTCATTTGAAAATGATTCAACTTCAAAATAATAAATTTTGCAATGCCTCAGAAAGCCTCTGTGGTATGCTTTGGCATCAGTGAGAACAATCAAACCCACTGGTTTAACAATACATGTATACTGAAGTAGCAGAACCAAAAAGTATGATAGTATTACTGTTTGTACAGATACAATTACTATTTTTCCAGATTAAATCCAATGCAAACATGGACATCATTTACATGGCTTCCACAGAAGAATGAAGTCCAATTCACCCCCATCCACCACCAACCTTTTGTTTTAACAGTATATGCTTTTAAATAAAATGACTTAAATTTAGAAAGCTCTACACATCCTGACCCATATTCACAAAACACCTTACCTTTATATCCAAAGTAATATCGAGGAATGGCTCATATGTATCCGAAACTGCTTTGCAGTTCAAGCACTTTACTGGAATCAAAATACAAATGCTTAACAATGTGTGATGGAGACTAACTGTGCAAATTTAAATTATTAATACACATTACTCAAACTACAAACTTCTTTACTACAAACAAAAAGACACAGACCAGTTGAGAGGACAGTAAGATTTTAAAAAAGTACCTCGGGATCTTAGATATCCTCCAAATATTTGATAAATAAGTGTGGTGGCTTGAGAAGATCTGTCCAACCTAGAAATAAATTACAATCAGACTTCAGAAGATTTAAGGCACTGAGTTAACTCTTCAAACAGTTTTTCTTTTTACGAAAACCAAGGACATAGATTTTAGTTTATGATAGTAAATAAATGAGTAAGAGTGGCTAGAGAACATCTGAAACTTAATTTGTTTATGCTTACTTGGTGCTTCCATTCAAGCAAGCTTTCTGCAAAGCATCAACAGTGAAGCATAAGAATTCATGTGCATCCTCTTGACTGCCGAAATGGAAATGTTTTCCTATTCCTAATAAATAAGAAGGTTATTATATTTATCTCATATAAAATGAAAGAAAACTCATATTTCTAAAATCTCTTATTTAAAGTATCAAAATCATTTATATGCATCAAATAATTATTTGAAAAATTAAAAAATGTCAAAAAATAAAACCATGTGAAATTACTTACTTTTAAGGCCATTGATAACAGATGTAGGTTTGATGGCATTATTAGAGCAACACAGGACTTGGTTAATGTGAGTTTCCATGGTACACATCATACAGAAACCTTCTTCATGACCTAAAGAGCCAAAGAAGAAAGCATCCCAGTCTAGTCAACTATACATCACTATTAAGAAGCCCCTAAGAAATAATAATCTTTAAGTAATAGGTACAATGTCCACTCTCCATGCTACATTCTCTTCTCCTAAGGTGTCAATATCCCAACAGTTTTGTGATAACATGCAGAACTGTATAGAGTAAAAATGTCAATTAAGTCTGTATTAAACTGCATTTTCTGTTGAGAAATCTAAGTAACTGTTGGAATGTCATTTTTTTGCAGACTGACAAGAATGTGAACTCCGCAGACTGCAGAATATATGAGGAAACAATACTGACATTGATGATACAGCACTAAGAGAGAATATGTGTTATTTTCAGAACACTGCTGTTAGGTGAGCTGCATGACACAGAGCTAAGAATCCTCTGGGAGAAAGGAAAGATTAAAGTAATGTATGTATTAGTATTTCTGCCCTCCTTTATTCAACAGGATTTACTGAAATTATGTTTATATATGGTAAGAAAACACTGTTAAATTTCTACGAATAAATACTAAGACACGAGACTAGAAAGCATACAGGTGCCTTTGTAAAAATACACATATATGGATGTGAAAAGAGTCTCCCAGGCTTAAATAAATTCAAGTGAAAAAATGAAACTCAAAGAACACAAATTCTATAAATATTCTCAACTATTTTAAAAATACAAGCTTTTATTTAGAATAAAATCAGTCTTAAATTTTAGTAGTCCCACACAAATTTCTGTTTTAGTTCGTAAGAGTTACCCAGTAGTGCTTTCTAGGGTGATTTGGTTTGGGTTTGTTTTTTTTTTTTTTTTTAAGGGTCAACAGTGAACTTATCATTCATCACAGTATTAGTGCATTACAGTATCTAGGCTGTGAAGACCAAGAATCTACAACACTAACATCCTCAATTTTATCACCTTTCTACCAACAGGAAAGCCAAATGCCAAATGTTCATCAAATGCCCTACTTCACAATGCACTTCATTATCCATATGAAGCAAGAAATTATCTTCTTTGGAAGTTTCACCATGGCACATTACATGAACAAATGTACTTTATATGCTCTTCTAAGCCTCCTGTTAATATAACCATAGAATCATCTAGGTTGGAAAAGACCTTTAAGATCATGTTCAAAGGCAGCTAGCTTCTACAGATAAAAATAGGACAACTAAGGTTTCTTCATAGAATCACTTGTTCTTTCACCTTCAGAGCTGTCCAACAGATTTATAATCATGTTAGAAAGTACTCACATGACTGGGTGTGTTCAAGGGAAAGCATGTAATTGGCAAGAGGAGGAGTATATGTCAAACATTGTAGAGTAGAATTAAGGAAACATGTATTGCCAAGATTCTGCAGCCCAACTCCAACGCTTTGTGTATTCTGCCAGTCCATGCAGATTTTCTCAGGTGGAAAAAGTATCCGTTGTGGAGGGGCAATTCCATCGTTAACAACTGCAAGAAAATTCTATTTTAGAAGAGATGTATTGTTTTTGTTTTAAAAAGGGTATTTTTAAAGTAGCATTCTGCAGGAGCACCTGGAAGAAAAGCTATACTTCAAACACAAATACGTAAGATTCACAGTTTTAACACACTGCCACTCGAATTTTCTGGTCAACACACTGTTTTGGACAATAGTTTATTCATCTGGTTTAATTCTTCTAATGCAAGACAAACTACCACTCTGATTTTAGTAACTTGTGCCAGGATTCTTGCCATCTGTAGTCTTTCATCTGATTATTAGTTCAAGTATTGTTTTTTACCTTATTGTAATTTAAACCACAAACTTACACTTGTAATTATATGGCAATAAATATAAGAACTAAGAAAAACAAGCAAGTAACTAGAACAGAAGGTAACCCAGATCTCTTCCTGAGCAGTTATCATTCAAAGACTTGTGAGTAACAGAATCAGTGAATAGCAATGGTAAAATGTACTTTTCCATGCATAACAGAAAAGACCTGGGTACGTCTGTGTATTATAAAAAGCTCGCCATAATTGATTGTAAATAGATCAAAACAAAGTTACAATTTGTTTGTAAATAAATAAAACTAAGTTCTGCAACATCATTCCCTTCATTTGCCTTAGGGGATTCACAAAATTGAAGCTCAAGTCTTTATTTGTCGTAGTCTTGTTTTATAGCAGCACAACAAATAAAAACTGCATTTTCTACCTGTTTTGTTTTTAAGAAAAAGGGGGAAGAACAAAAGACACACTTACCTAGATCCCTCTGGGCAAAAGGCTTAGTTTTCTGAGAAGATTTACAATAAACAGCACCGCCAGGTCCTTTGTCAACAGAAACTTTCTTTGTATCTTCTACAGGTGGTACCCGGCCCAAATTTGCAGTGCGTGATGTCATTTTTTTGGTACGGGGTTTCTTAGACTTGTCAGACCGCCTTGATGATTTTTTAGATTTAGAAGATTTTGGCTTGTTAACTATCGTCATCGTTCATATCTGTAACAGAGGCAAAAGTTCTGGTTGACATAAGAATGTCAAGAAGCATTCTGGAAAGAAAATAATAGGATAAATCCTGTCACTTAGTCTTGAAGGAATAACTTGAAGAACTAAATAGCTGATAAGAATGATTAAAAAATAAAACAAAAACAAAACAACCCAAAACTAAACAAACAAAGCAGAATTTTCCATCCAAACTGTATCAATATTACTTTTAACTTCTACAGAGCTGATGACTGATGACATTTCTTATACTTCCATGGGATTTTAATCCATTACAGTTATGAAGACCTTTTTTTTAAAAAAAGGAGCTGCGAGTAGTGGCATTTTCAAGTGCTGGCCTGTTGAGATCCAGGAGGAACTGTACGGCCCATCTTTTCACTCCTGGAACCACACACCTCTGAGACACTAAGGATGGGATATAGCTCTGAGAAATCTTGGGAAAGGAGAGCAAAAAAACAGTTGTAAATTTATTTCCACCTGGGTTTCTTCTGCCCCTCCAAGAAATATTTGTTTGGATACAATTTTGGCAGCAGTATTTGTGATATTTTGCACCCATCACATTTACAACTCTTACTATCAACCAAACAGTTGAACCAAAAAGCATCATTTTCAGTTCTACTTAGAGTTGTACATTTCTCCCTGGCAAAACAACAGAGGAACGTAAGCTATAAAAAGGAAATGCCAAACGTAAAAGAAAGCAAACCAAACCCTCAGTTCTCAAGGACAAAGGCAGTAACTGACATTAAGTCCTTTTAAAGATGCTGATTAGTTTCAAGATGATACCTCTCTAAATATGTTTAATTGTGTGTGCATAGTAAGCCGCTGAATGATCAATTATCGATTTCTATATTTAAATTTTTGCTACCATCTTACTATAGCACTGAGGGTCTTTTTGAGCTTAGGAAAACTGTAAACTTAACTGAGGGTTTAATGCATAAGCTGCTTTGTATACTGAAATAACTGAGAGAACAGAGCATAAAGCAGTTTCAGATTTATGGCACAACTTGATTGCTATTGATAAAACTTAAGGTAGATTAAAACCAAAGCACAGTAAATTAGAGAACTTCTAGTCCCACAGAGGACGAATGTGCAAAGCCTTTAACGATATCTTTTCCCCTTTAAATTTTTATCCACTCTATACACATTTTTAATTTCCAATAAAATAATACACCAAAGTGGAAAATTCACTGTAATTTTACTGAGAAATGTTGACATCCCTGTCCATTTGGAAGACTAAGATGACAGTTCTTAGGCTCTGTGATTTTCAGATAAGATCCAGATTTCAATCTGCAAATATCAGTGGCATCTCATTTTTCTGATTGAAAGGGAAAGTGTTTCAACAACATATTTAAAGCATATTTGCCAGACAAAAACCCAGAATCACGACTGTAGTGAGAGGCAAACGGAACACTATTATCACAAAAAAGACTGAGCATTATACTGACCAACAAGGGAAGCCTTATGTGGTTTTTAATTTGTTTTTGACAACCAATCAATAGATTACTAGATATCAAACACTACACAACAGTGAGTATCAACACTAGTAAGAACAAATCAGATCCACCACTTTTTCAAAATATGTCAATATACTTATTAACTTGGACATAACATTTTCTTTGACAAAGAAGTACAAAAACTACAAACTGACATTTTTTCCTCTCCCATTGTTCAACATACAGATTCTGTTCCTATACCACTGCTGAACATAATTTTACATTGTCCTGTGTCTTGAGTGTTATTTCCCTGTGCGGATGTTGCAATAGACTTTTCCCAGTGGGATATTGAAAAGTTATGCAGATAAAACAGTTACTTTCCTCCCATTTGGAGTTTTGCATGAGCATCGTTTAGATTTCTTTCAGCAGTCTCATCACAAAACACATCAGTTATGACTTGGATCTAAATATTTATGTTTGGTCTCCACTTTGCATACAATAAAGTCGCTCAGGAAGATTTTACACAAGATCCCATTCACAAAAACTGCAATTTAACCAGGGAGTAGTGATAATGCATTTATCTCATCACAAAACAAACATTTTCAGCAGCGACTGTAAAAAAATAACAAACACACACAAAAATACCTAGGTAGAAATAAGGAGTGATAGAAAACTACTGTAGCATAATTGTGAAGACCAGGCACGTTTACAGCTCTAGATTACAAACTACACTTGCACCCTGCAACGCTACGGTAAGCCAAAAAAAAAAAAAAAAAAAGGAAACGAAGAAACACTCCAAACACACGCCGCGCTAGTTTTACTTTCATTAAAAAATAATCCAGCCACCGAGCCAGGAAACGCGAAATTAATTATCACTTTACCCATCGCGAGAAGCCAGTTATGCGGGCGCGGCGGTGACTCGATGTGCCCGTCGTCTGCCCCGGAGCCCGGCGGAGCTCCCGGCCAGCGGCGGCTCTTGTGGCAACTAATCGCCTTCGCGGCGGGGGCAGCCGGTTGCCGGGCCGCCGCCGTCTCCCAGGGGCTTTATGACGGGCGCTAAGCTTGAGTCACCCACCCTGGCCACCCCCTGCTCTGCCCTTCTGGAGGGGTTTGGTTCCTGAAAGCGTTTTGACACCAGCAGATAAAAGGCTGCTTTCACAGACATGCACGGCACGCCTGCACACAACATGTCCGCAACTCGGGAGCGGCCAGAGCCCGAACACACGCAACAAAACCAAACCGAGCCCGACGCGCAGGCGAGATGGGGGTGGGGGCCGCGGAACGGCTCCGAGCCAGCCCCCGCCTCGCCTCGCCCGCCAACCCACCCCGCGCTCCCCGGCCCCCGCGGGCCGCCGTGCCCCTCACACCCCGCCGGGGGCAGGCCCAGCGGCGGGCCGTGTCGCCTCAGCGCCCGCCCTCCCCGCCCCGGCTTTACCTTTCCGGGCCCGAGCCCGCGCCTTAGCGCCCGTCCGGAGGCTGAACCGCGCGGCAGGTATCGCCCCAACGGCGACTCCGTGCCCATGGCAACGCGGCGGGGTGGGGGAGCCGGCGCCGGCGGGGGGCTTGGGGGGGGTGGGGAAGGGGAGGCGAATCGCTCCCGGACCCCCGGAGCGGGAGGCGGCAGGCCCGGTGGGGAGCCACCGCCTCGCCCAGCGAGGAACAACGCCGCGGGACTCGGGGGTGCCGGCCGCCCTCCCGCCGGCACCAGAACGCGGGGAAGCCACGCCGAGTCCCCGCACCGCCGGGACCCCGGCGGAGGAGGCGGGAGCGGAGCGGAAGCATCGCGCCGGGCATCGCCGCCCCGCCGCGCCGGGAGGGGGGCCGGTCCCGCCGGCCCAGAGGGTGGTGGCGGCGGCGGCGGCAGGGCTGGGTCCCTCTGCCGCGTGCTGGGGACGGCGCCCCGCCCCGCCCGGGGGTCCCACCCCCTCCGGCTGCCCGCCAGCCAGGAGGGCAGCGGCCGAGCGCCCGGCCGGCGCCCCGGCGGGGCGGGGTGGAATGGGTTGGGTTGAGCCGGCTGCTCCCGCCGGTCGCTTTCCCTTCCCTTTCCCGGGCCGGCCCCTCCCCCCCGGCCCATTGATTTCCAGGCAGGGAAGCGCACGCGGCGCTGCCGGGCTCTGCCAGGCCGCCGCCAGGCCCGACGCTCCCCCCCCGGCCCCCTTACCTGGCTCGGCCCCGCTTGACTCGGCGCTGCCGGGTCCCCCTCGCCGCAGCCCCCGCCTCAGCCCGGCCCGCTCCGCCTACTGTTACAGCCCGTCGGGGAACAATGACGTCCCTCCGCCGGCCTCTTGCATCCGGGGCCCGGCGCCGGCCGGGCAAGCGGGCGGGGGGAGGAAAGGAGGCGGCGGCGGCGGCGGCGGCGGGGGGGGGAGAGAAGCGAGCTCCTCCGGGTCACACGGGGACCAGCACCGCCCCTGTGCCGCTGCCGGGAGCCGCTAGAGGGGGCTCGGCGACCCCCGGTCGGGGCGAGGGGCTGAGGGCGACGCGACGAGGGGGCTCCGGCGGGGAGGAGGGGGCGGCGCGGGCCCGGGGGCCCCGCCGGGCGCTTTGCGGGCGATGTGTGGGGTCACAGCCCGGCACGGATGTTCAGGGGGCCCCGCCAGCCCCGCTGCGTGAGGGGACGCTTCGGATCCCCACCGCGATGCTTCGCGACGAGCCCCTTCCTGGGCCGTAGCCGTCCCGCCCGTCTCTGCCTTCCGGGCCGCCTTTATCCCTCTCCCATTTATCTCGCCAGTTAATGTTTTATTTCTCGGCGCTCGACGAGCGGCCATAAACGCTGGCCCGGCCCCCGGGGCCGCCCACAGGGAGGCGGGCAGGCCCCGCCGGCCCGAGCGAAGGCCGGGACCCCCGCGCCCAGCATGTGGCGGGGCGGATTCCCGCCGAGGGCCGCGGCCCCGCCGCCCGCCATCGAGTTTCCCGAGGAGAGCCCGGAGCCGCGCTTTGACGGTAAGCGGGGCCCGCGGGGGAGCAGGGGGGCGGCCCCCTTCCCGCGGGTGACGGCGGGGCCCCAGGCTCCCCGCTGTTGGCAGGGCGGGAAGGAGCGTAGAACCGCCGCCTTCCCCTTCCCTCCCCGTGGCCCGAGGCCGCGGCAGCCGCGGGGGTGATGCAAGAGCGGGCAGGCCTTCGGCAGCGCGCCCTCCCTCGCGGCCGCTGAGGGAGAGCCCCCTCCCCCGGCGCTAGCCTCAGCCGCTCCGTTTAGCTTCCTTCCAGATGCGCTTATAAAAATTAATTAGGTTCCTAATTGGTGTATTAAGCTTCTCGCTCAACGGCAGCTCTCGGGGTGGCTTTTTGCGAGCCAGGGTTGTTTTGAAGCTGTCTGAGTAGGTAGGTGGTTTTGATGTTTTGGGCAATAGGCATATCCTGAGACCCAAATTCATTCGTCTGACCGTCCTTTTCCAGAATCGGATGTGCCGGCGGAGCTGCGAGTTGCAAATGGGTCGCAAAAGTTTGTGAACTTCACTTCGACCATCCAAAACCAGCTTCTGCTTGTGTCACTGCTGGAGCATCTCTGCCATATGTACACACACAACCCCGTTCACTCGAGGTGTTTATTCCGAAGTTAGTACATGTAGTTCTTTCCTGACTCTTAAACTGCCTTACTGCAATATATACCAGTTTGTTCTGCGAAGAATTACAGGGTAATATCAATACAAAGCTGTAGCTTTCATCCTGGTAGGACAGGAGTGATTACGAGGAGAAATACCCTGAATCATCTCAGTTGGGAATGATGGACCTGTCTTATTTTTGAAAACAGTAACATAATATTGTAGATGCAAGGATCAGACAGCTAAATCATGTGACTTCCACACATTTAATGAGAAGGGTAACAGGGTAAATTACATAACTGTTAAATCTGATCTAAAAACACAGCTAGAAGAGGAATTTAATAAAAATATTTAACAAGAAATAGATATAGTATAGTCTTCACTAAATCTTTCAAAATTGTGTGCTGTGAAAATCAGAGCAAATACTTTTGTAAGGCCCTTATTTTCCTGTAAAGTCTTTTGATACAGTTCAGGGAGCTCTCATTTTTAGGTGTGGAATCTGCCTGTCTGGTATGTGACTCATCGTAGGTATTTTGTTCATTTAGGCACATACTTAATGCATTTGAGAAACAATCTCCAAGGTTTTTTTATTTCCTATACATGATCGTAGAAAATAAAATCTAATATATTGCTTGTACTTGAAGTAATTATAGCATCCAGTAACAACAGTGCAGACAACCGTCATTTTTTTGTTCCTGAAGTCTGAATTAGATGTTTGGCTCTGGGTCTTAGTAGTATCCCTATCAAAAGCAAAAACATCAGGGAAAAAAAAAATCCCAACCAAAACTACTCTTTTGGAGGGAGGAACAATAAAACCAAACAACTGGGGTGTCTTCCAAAGTATGTAGCTGCTTGGCTTCCCAGTGTACTTCTACGGAAAACGGCGTTTTTCCCACTTTTCCGGTGTGTGTAATTGTGTCATAAGGCCTGTGTAGCAAAATTCCTGATTTCTTACAGATTCATTTTCAATAAATTTTATTTCCTTTAAAATATAAGTAATTAAAAGATTTAAAAGTAGTAGGTTGATTTTTATAATACTGGTACTAAAGAAACATCTTAAAAAAACTCTTACAAGGAAGTTTGGTTTAAGACCTCGGAACTCCTAAAATGTTTAAGTACATTTTTGTAGCATCTCTGCAGTTGCACTCATCTCCAGTATTTGTTAAGTTTTTGTCTGCCACAGTGTTGTTTTACTTCAGCTGAGAAAGATGTAGTGCTTGGTGGAGTTGGGGTGGTAAGGAGTGACTTCATTCTTTATCATGAGTATGTGCACAAATGTGTGAGTTGATTTGTGAATTAGAAAATCTTAACATTACTACTTTTGATTATAAACATGTCCTCATAATTATGAACATGCTTTCAAATTATCTCTTCATTGATGAAAATTAGTCCAAGAGTAACAAGTGAATGGGTGGATGTTTGTATAATTAATCTGCTGAGATAAGGGATAGGAGGAGGTGCAGTTGTGACCATGAGGGGCATGGTAAATACCTATATTATGCAAAGGGTTTCCTACAGAGCATCGCTAGTTTGGATTTAAATAGTTTTTATTGCTAAGAGTGTGGGAAACCGTTACAGTAGGAATGACTATTCAGTTTTTCAGATGCACTATCTTTCAAATAAAGTTTCTCATTTAAAAAAAAAAACAACTGTTGACATGGTCTTATTGGTAGGCTTTATTTAATTTGACCTTTCTCTGTTCCTTTGTACAGTACTTCGTCAGGCTTTCACAAGAACAGGGTTGCTCTCCCCTTTTGCATTCTGTGATGAATTTAGTACTGTAAGACTGCAGCATAATAGAGCCATTACTGAACTAATGAAAGCAGCTAATCAACAAATACTTAATGGGGTAAGGTTTGTTAAATTTCTTTGGCAACCTCTGCATTAAGGAATTAACACATCATTGCATCCAAAGAAACTTTTGATTAGGGGTTCTTTTAATATTGGATTGGGTCTTTTTAATAATTACATAAAATGGTACTCCCATTCTACCTTAGCTGTTTGGGATGGCATGTTTGGTTCTACAGGTGCAAACCAAAGCTTTTGAAGCCAACATTATTTTGTTCCTTATTAAATAATTACCAAAAAAAATCTTTATAAACACAGGCAAGGTGTTTTAAGTATTGCTACAGGGGTTTTTTTGACAATGGACAGACATCCATTTTCAACCTTTAACTGTTCCAGTTTATTATGTTAACACCTTTATATTAGTGGAGGGCATAATTTGTATACTGCATAATGTGCTCCAGGTTGAATTGGACCAGTTTGGTTATCTCACTGCTTGAAGTAAGCTAAAGTTAATTTTGTCTTAAGCACATTTTAGAGCCCTCATTTTATCCTGTTTGCCAGCAGAACTCTAAAAGGGCAGTAATCTCTCCAGCAGAGATGTTAGCAGATTACTGGTGGGATAATGATACTTTAATTTGCTGAAGCTCTCTGCAGAATGTGAATGGCTATCAGTAACCTCATTTTCTTCTAAGAACATAGTTGTAGTTTTTATTTTGATTAAGATGTCTGTGCTGATGGTATGGTAGAGCTGTTATTCTGTATGGCATGTTTTTATGTTGCGTTTTGTTGTTTCATAGGAACTTGATAATGGAGATTCTCATGCAATTGGGTATGTATTCAAAGCATTTAGAAATATTGAACTTAACTCCCTCCCTGAAGTTCTGTGCACCACACTGAATTTAATTAGCACTGCGTTTCATATTTTGGCTCTGAAACACATTTAAAAAAGTTAAAATTTCTCCAAACACAAAACAATCTGGTGAAAATTCCTGCATCAGTACAACTCTCACTGTTAGTGCCACCATTCAGGAAAACAGGATTTATCAGGCATAAGCATAAAGAAATCATCTTAATAACTTCTCTTAACACAGAGTGTGGATTTGTAGCACATGTGCATTCTGTTGCAGTCTGCTGGTCTTCAGTACTCACTGAAACAGTGAGTGGTACAGTATGATAATGTCAAAGTATTTTCATAATGTAAACAGTATTTCTAGATTGTTTACACCTGTACCCTATATAATACCTTACTTATAAGTAGTGATTTAGTTTAATGCAGGCTAACTTTTTTGATTAGGGAAAAAGAAGTTCTCTTTGAAGCACAGACTTCGCGATACTTGAATGAATTTGATGAGGTTGCAAGGCTAGGAAAAGGAGGATATGGTAAAGTATACAAGGTATTCTTTTCCATTTATAACTGATCAAGTTTATATCTAGTTTTTCTTTGAAATGTAGAGTTGCCGTTTCAGCTGTTTTGTTTATTTTTCTAATAGAAAACAAAAAATACTTATTTTCTAATAGAACAGGTGCAAACCTGCCCATGTGAATCATGTTGGCAATTCATTTCAAAAGATGCTCAGTTGTGGTTTTTATTTTCTGTTTGTTGGAAGCTAGATATATCAGATATTTTACTTTGTGTATTTTGACCCTTTTCAACTGAATGAAAACTCCTTATTTCTTGTGTGTAGTATTA